CGACTTCGGGCGACGACTCTGCGGGGGAGGGGTGGGGTCACCGCCCCCGCGGTCGTGGCTCCGCCCCCGCCCTGCACGTGGGCGCCAGATCCACCCACTGCTCCGGCAGATCCCACCCAGCCCGCGGGAGACGCCCCTCAACCCCTGCCAGGTCCGAGCTCCGCAGACCCCTCTAGCGCCCTTCCTGGGTTCCGGCCCCCAAAAGACGCCCCCAGGCCTCCGAGGTGCAAAACCCTCACTCTGGACACCCCTCAATCCCCAAGCTTCCAGGTCCCACCCGAGCCGCGTCCCGGGTCCCCAAGATGTCCCCGGGTCTCGACCTCCAGAAGATGCTCCCCAGGACCACCTCCTGGGTCCCTAAACCTCCAGGTCTCCTTCTGGGTCCGCACCCCGCCCTCGCCAGGTCCCGTCCCACCCCGTCCGGGGTCCACTGCTGCCCCCAGATACCCTCCCGAGTCCTGAGCCAACCCCCAGGTCTCCCCTCTATGCCCACTGCAGCGCCTGCGCACCTGGGCGGGGGGAGCCGGCTGGCGCCCCTGGAGTCGCTGCGTCCGCGCCCGGAGCCGCCGCGGAGACAGGCAGGATCTCGATGGCGACGGCGTCCCCGGGCCCGCGCAGCACACGCAGCAGCCCCTGCGCCTCCAGCTCCCCCAGCTTCAGCTCCAGCGCCGAGGGTCGCGGCGGGGCCAGGGGCGCGTCCGCGGGGGACCGTGCGCCACTGCCGGCGGAGGTCGCGGAGGTCGCGTCGCCCACACGCTCCTGCAGCGGGGATGGGTCAGCACCGCGGGGACGCGCCCCCCTTCCCCTCCCCACCCCGCCCCCCGGCGCCGCGCACCCGCAGAGTCTCCAGCTCCCTGCGCGCCTGGCTCAGCTGCTTCTCCAGCTCCGCAATCTTGGCCATGGACTCGTTCTCTGCGTCCCGCAGCCGCTCCGTCAGCTGCGACACCGGCACAGGGTGAGCGGGGGCGGTGCCAGGCGGCCCAGAGCGCCGGGCTCCGGAGCGCTCGCGGCTGCCAAGGAAGACTAAGCCGAGCCCGCGGGGAGGGGATGCCATGGCGCCGCAGGTGGTAAGGTGGGCGAGAGTGGGGTGCTGGCACATCCGTCCGTTCCCCCAGTGAGGACCGGGGCCGCCAAGGCCCCGCGCGCCTGCGAGGGAGCGCTGACCCCTGGGGAAGACCCAGGGATTCCGGGTGTGAGTTCAGGGCAGACCCCCGTTCTCAGGCGCCGCGCCTCACCAGCGCCGTCTGCTCCTGCAGCTCCTCCATGTGCTCCAGCACGGCGTTCTTGGTCTCCGTGTCCTCCAGCAGGGCGCTCACATCGAAGACATTGTCCAGGTAGGCCTGGATCTGCACCCGCAGCTTGTCACTCTCCGTGAGCCGGAGCCTCTGTCCCAGAAGCAAGAGTGGGTGAGGCCGGTGGGCACCCAGAGAAAGGGGCCGGAGCCGGGCCTGCTTTCTCCTTTTTCATCTGCGCGTCATTTACATGTGGTAAAGCCCGCCACAGTAAAGCTCACATTTACAAGGTCATGTGGCTGTCACCACTGTCAAATCCCAGAACGTCTTCCTCACCGGCAAAGAGCCCTGCACCATCAGCAACACACCCCATGCCCTCCTCCTCAGCCCTGGTGCCCACTGACCCTGTGTGTCTCAGGAGTCGTCCCTCCTGGGCACTGAGAAACCATCACACATGGCCTTGCGCTCAGCAAGACAGTCTCACAGTGCACCTCCCTCAGCATCAGCCCTTCCGCCCTGCCCGCTTTCCCCAATGTCACCCTCGCTCCCAAACCCTCTCCCAGAGGCCGGGCGCCTCCAGAGAATCTTGGGCCAAAGACCCAGCGTGAGCCGGCTTGCTGTGATGAACCAGGCAGAATCGACCCTGACGGGGGAGCTAGGTGTGGACCAGGTGCAGCGCTGTCCTACACTCCAGCCATTCTCAGCTCAGAGTCTCCCATTTGACAGATGGGAGGACTGAGCCTTCCAGGCACAGCCCAACCCAAGGCTTCAGAACTCGGAAGCAACAGAGCCAGGATTTGAAGCCAGGTCCGGCATCTCTGAGGTCCCTGTGCAGCGGCTTCAGGCGGGCAGAGGGCAGGAAGCGGGTGCCGGGCTCACCTCCAGGTACAGGTCCAGGCCCAGGTTTGTGAACTCATATTGCAGGAAGACCCGGAAGTTCATGTCCTCCACAGAGTGCACCACGATGTTGATGAACTGCATGCAGGCCACCTGGGGCCAGGACACAGGCGGCGTGCCCTCAGGCGGGCACACTCCACAGCTCCCCCACGCACCGGCCTCCCTCCCTCCAGTGCAGCCCCGGCCCCTCTGCCACCGGCACTCAGTGCCCCCAGCTCACCATGAAGTCGATGTTGCTGTCCTCGTTGCGGAAATATTCCATCAGCTTCTCAAAGCGGTGCTGTTCCCCGCACACCTGCAGAGGGGACACAGTGCTCAGAGGACCCAGGGACAGCCTGGTGAGCCGGCACTGGGCTGCCACTCCTGTGCCTCCACAGGCTCCTGCAGAGTCACAGCTAAGTCAGCCCAGTTGCTCTTCCCCACCCTGCATTCCCCGTCTCCTCCCCCAGCCCTGCACTCACAGCTTGGCCACACTCCTGCCTCAGGGCCTTTGCACTCACCGCCCAGCCCAGGCACCTGCCTCCCAGGAAACTGTGCTCAAGTCTCACCTGCTTCGCAAGCCCTGTGCTGACCACCCTGCAACTGGCTCCCTCCCCCTCGCTGCAGCCTCTCCTTACCCCACCACTTTCTGTCTAACGCGTCAGTTTCTCCTTCTCTGCACTATCGTCCCTCTTCCTTGCCTTTCTGCCTGATGCACAGCAGCCTTGGCAGTGCTCATCAGAGCAATGGATGCATCCAGCCTCGCACCCGTCTGCCGGCTGGCCAGGGCCATGTTGAGTTTGGGCCTGGCCCCGGCGGAACTCCCCACCCTTGTCCTCTGACTGGGCAGGACCGGGCGTGGTACCTCCTTGAAGTTGTCGAAGGCCAAGAGGATGATGTCGTGCCCTCCACGCACCAGGCACACAGCCGCCAGGAGCTCCAGCACCAGAGCCTTGGTTCTGGGGAGACAGAGGCCAGGGGCTGGGGACGGGTGGTGCCACAGGGTGCGGTGGGGGCAGCGCTCTGACCGGGAGGGCCACACGACCGAGGGCCTAGCTCGTACCTGGGGTTCTTGTTGTTGAGGCTCAGTGTGATCTCGTTGACACAGGCTGGGTGGTTCATGACAAGGCTGAAGCCAGACTGGGGACAGAGGTGAGGTCAGCAGGACCCAGCATCTGGCACCCAGCACCTGGGGCACAGTCGAGCCCTGCCCTTCTACTGCCCACAGTTTAGGAAGTTCCTCACCTCCAGCCTCCACCAGACCCTCACCCCCTCCTTGAACTCTGTCATTTCTGAGCTAGTGCCGGGAGCCATCAAGGCTGGCAGAGAGGCGCTGCTTCACCCATGGACCCTGCAAGCAGCAGAGCCCGAGGCCACCCGCCCCAGGGCCCCCGCTGCCCAGCTCTGCGTGGAACCACATGAAGCTCATCCTGCCCCAGCTGGGCCGGGACCTGGCCCAGCGGCCCAGACCCAGCTCCAGGCTGGAAACAGGGACCCGGAGGTGCAGCCCGCCACCCACCTGATAGTTCATGATGGCACGCAAGCACATGATGCAGACATGGACATCGTCCTTCTGGCTGACGATGCGGGAACTGCGCAGGGCCTTCCTGCTGTGTGCAGGGGTCAGCCTGGGTGGTCAGGGATGCAGCAGGGTCAGCCCCAGGGCCCGCTCCTGCATCTCACCTGTACGATGGCGCTCAGCACGAGGTTGCCTTCCTCGGGCCAGGCTGGGCGCCAAGGGAGCAGCGACCCTGGGGCCCTGGCACCAGGAGCGCTGCCAAGGGCGCTGTCACAGCCTGTAAGACTCCCCAGCAGGGGGCGCCCACAGCCACTGGGCCGCGGTGAATGCAGCTGGCCAGGTTCTGGAAGGTTCCTGCTCCCCTCGACCTGGCAAGAGGCCTAGTCTCCCTGTGCCTCCCTTTCCCCTTTCCCAACAGGACCGCCAGCAAGAACGCTTTCGCGCTGGGGTCGCTGGGACAAGGACGTAAAGCCGGCGTGGTGCCTGACGCTAGAAGTACTGAATAAGCGTGCTCAATTATTCTTGGCCAAAAAAAGGTTTGCTATATTTACTTTTGCAGAACCGGCAGCTATGACTTCCACACATCAGACCCCTTGACAGTTCTACCACATTTCCCACAAGCTGGGACCCTGCCTCACCCAGCTGCTCCTGCCCTGCCAGGCGGCCTTTCCTGGCATGGCTCAGGCACCCCTCCCGGGTGGGTGTCCTCCTTGCCCCCGTCCAGTGTCACCTCTGTGCACAGCCTTCCCGAAGCCCCAGGCCATGGCCAGCCCGTCCTCAGAGCCACCACCTGGCAGCACTGAACTCTCCTCTCCCTAGACTGTGGCCCTGAGGCAGGGAGTACCTGCCACGTACCTAATACAGGTAACCCTGAAACATGTTTTTTGGATGGATGAACAAAAGACCATATTGTAAGAGGCTGGGGCCTAACACGACAGTTCGTACACAAGAGCCAGGGCTGGGTCTCAGGGTCCACAGGGAGCTCGAGGGCCACCCTCTCCCCCCAGACCTGTCCAGACCAGCAGAACCTGGGGGTCAGCTAAACGCCTCACCCAACCCACCACCACCCAGGAAGCCTGCCAGGCATGCACCTGCCCCCAGCTGGCTACGTACCGGGGAGAAGGGGGGCACCTGGAGGCCGTGTGGAGAAAAGAGGAGGTTAGATGGGTACACAGGGCCCCACCCCCTGAGCCCCTCTTTACCCCAGGCCCTCCCCAGATCCAGCCTAAAGGCTCCTGAGCCCCATGCGTGCCCCAACGCTGACCCCCTCCCACCCTCCACTCCAGTCCCACCCTCCACTGTCCCCCTACCCCCTGGGGGCTGCGTACTTGACCGTCAGGTGGCGGCTCCTGGGCAGGGCGGGGGGCGGCCCCCTGCTGAGGTCCTCCACTGACTGCTCCAAGGGCTTGCCCTTCTCAGGGTTCTTCTCCCCACTGTCTGTGTTCTCCATGTCATACCTGGAGAAGGACACGGAGCTCACAGGCCAGCACCAAGGGGACCCCCGGGATTCAGGAGGAGGAGCTGTGATCTGGCCCTGTCCCTTCCATCAGGGACAGGCCTGCAGGAAGGGGCTCCACCAGGCTGGGCACCCCACAGGGGCGTGGGTGACATGCAGGGACGCTTGGATCTGGGCTGGGGGGGGCGAAGGGCTTACGTGACAGAGCACTGGGCAAAGGCCAGGTACTCCAGGAGCACGTCCAGGCCGCGATTCTGCTCGTTGAGGAACTCTTGCACCCACCTGCAGCACAGGGCACCCTGAGTCCACAGGGAAGCGGTCCTGCCCAAGCAGGCAGTGGGAAGCCACCAGCACACCCCACCTCAGGAGACCCCGTGGTGTTGGGGCCCAGCCTGTGAGACATGGGCGCCAAAGCATGCAGGGCAGACGAGGAGGTGCTGCTGACCATGGCCTGGAGGGGAGGGGCATCGAGCCTGCACTCACCCGATGTGGTTGGTCCTCAGGGAGGTCTCCAGCTCCCGCAGCACCTGCGTGGACTCCTGACCACGCCTCTTAAACTGAGGATGGAACAGGGAGCCCGGTGGGTGGAGCCCGGCCTCCACAGGCCCTCCAAGTCCTGGGGCCACAGTCAGTGTCCCCCACCCTCCATATGTGGCCTTCCATGCCCCGCTCCCTCACCACCGCCACACACCTGCCCCACTGAATGACACAGCGGTGTGTGCCCCCTGGCACTGTGTCTACACACACCCATGCAGACACACGGGGTACACGCACATGCGCACATTCAAACATCCCGGGCCCACACACCCACATGAACATACATAAACAGAAAAAGGCACGCACACAGGTCTGCATGGACAGGTGCACACTCTCAAGGGCATGTGGCGGCCCATGTCAGCACACCCAGGGCTCCCTCAGGACCCCCTCACACATGGGCACTCTCAGGCACCCGCAAGTCTACCCCAGCAGCTCCGGCTTCAGCTGCCAGAGCCCCGGGGAAGGGGAGAGGCCCAGAGTGAGGGAGAGAAATACCCCCAGGTTGGACATCCAGTCTGCTGCAACCTTGCGGCTGACCCCCCCAACATCGAGGTAGCTCTTCAGCTTCTGGATGTAGGCTTCAGGGGGGTTCTTGACTTGGAACCGCTCCTGGGGAGGTGGACAGGTGGGCAGGAAGCCAGGAAGAGCTGCCCTGGTGGGGGGGAGACCAGCCCCCACTGAGGTCCCTTCTGCTCTGACCGGGGGGCTCAGGCCGTTCTGAGCGGCCTCTGAGCACCAAGGGCCCAGTCCTCACAGCCCCCTGCCCAGCGGAGAAGACCCCAGCCCAGTCCTAGCCACTGCCCTGTGACCCGGGAAGCTGAGTTCCTAATCTGCCTGGGGTGTGGCCGCCTTGTGGGGGCGGCCTCGGTCCCGCCAGCAGGTGGTGCCCGCTCCTCGCCCTCCCAGACCCGAGCGCAGGACCGTGGGGGCCCAGCTTCCTGCAGGCTGAGTCCCCTTCCCAGCACTGCACCAGCCTCCTGCTCATCCGTGCGGTGGACATCCACACGCTCAGCTTCGGCAGAGGCCCCACCCAGCTCCCCGGCCCTCAGAGGGGCCCAGCCATCCCCTAGACCCTCTGCTGCCCCAGCCTTTGGACCCTCCCACAGCCCAAGCCTATACCCAGGTGGCTGCCCTGCCAGCTCATCCCATCCCTTCCATTAGCCAGAGCTCCGCCGGGCCCCTGGGGAGGCCCTGCTCCTCGCCTGCCTGCCCTGGAACCCACTGCAGCCAGCCTCCCCCCACCTCTGAGGCAGCGTTCCCCTGGCCCACAGGGGCAGCAGGGGAGAGCCGGGTGGACACAGGGCCTGGACAGGCTGCAGGGGCAGGGTCTCCTCTGGCTGGCCCCGGGCTGAGCTGGACTGCATCCCCTGAGCCCTCTGGAAAAGGACAGGGCTCCTGCCCTCCTCCCCTGGGTGGCTAAGCTGTCCCACCAGCCCCATCCGGCACAGGGCAACATCAGGAGAGGCTGCCGGGGGTGCAGTGGGAGGGGTGCCCTGGCCCAGCCCTGGCCCCACCCTGCTCTGACACCCAGGTCTGGGGAGACCGAGGCCAGGCGAAGCCCCAGGGCAATAGGGAAGTGCCCCTTCTCCTGCCAGCATGCACCAGTCAGGGTGGGCACCCTCAGCACGCACCTGGTCACAGACCAGTTCCCACTTCTTCTCGTCGTCGTACTGGCTCAGCAGCTGCACCTTGTCCGGGGGCAGGTTCATGCAGTTCTGGGGATCAGAGCAGGGACCCTGAGCCTGGGGCCCCAGCACCATGGGGAGGGGTGGCATCTCGGGGCCCCATTACACTTCCAAGCCTCATAGGAGAGAAATCACCTTCTCCAGCCCCAGCAGCAAGGAAGGGACCTGGCGCTGGACTCCCAGTCTGATCGGCTGTGTCACCCCATGTCTGGTGTGAGGCAGACGCTCTCGTTCCCTGGGGACCCCAGGCCCCTCTGGCTCCACACTCCCCATCAAGGTGGGCATCAGCTCTGCCCAGACCCAGGAGGAAGCTGACGGGAGCCCTCGCCAGCCAGGCGCCACCAGACACCAAGTCTGCCTGGAGAACCCTGAGAACCTCTCCCAAAGGGGCAACGCAGCCTCCTCCATCCTCCCAGCTCCTCCCTCTCGTTTTCTTCAAGAATTGAGGGGGGGTGAGGGTTGGGAGCTCCAAGTGGGGTGGCACGGATGCAGAGGTGGGAGTCCTCCGTGCCACTGTGGCCCAGGCGGGACCCTCGGGAGCTGTCACAGGTCTGGAGCGCCCCCTGGGCCATGGCATCTCTATTGCCACCAGGAAGGTGTCAGATAAGCCCAGCATTGTGAAATCACCCAGGTGCCACCAGTACTCCAGATCCCCAGAACCCCAAGTTCAGCAAGTCTCCCAACAGACGCAGATCCAAGGCCAGTTCACCCCAGTTCAGTCAACCCCAGGTTTATCCAAAACAGTTCTCGCCCAAGAGGCCCCCTCTTAGCCCCAGCCCGAACAGGGGTGTGGGAGCCCACTGCATCCCCAGCCCAGATGTGGGGAGGCTGCTGTCCCCAGCTCCAGTGGCCGAGGTGGCAACCACACCCACCCACTACTCCTCAGCCACCCTGCTTCCTCTCAGCTAGGTCCTGGCCTAGATCTGGAGCTCTGACCAGACCTCACCCCAAAATCACTGCTGGAGCCAACTCAGAAAACAGGAAGCTGGTGTCCCAACCCCCTCGCCTGAGCTTCCGGCCAGGCCACTCCAGAGGTGAGACTGCCCACCCCAGACTCCCAGCCAGCTGGGCCAGGGTATGTCATCCCTGTCTCCCCCTGCAAAAGGGAACCAGGCTAGAAAACCACACGGCCTTGTCCACCACCCCACAGGCACATGGGGGTGGGCGCTTTCCCTGGAGGCCTCGCCTCTCCTATCCCCTCTGAGCCGTCCCCAAGCTGCAGAGGCGCAGAGAGGCCCAGGGTGAAGGAGGAAGAGGGGCAGCTCGGAGGACGGGCCGGGAGTTGGCGGGGCCCAGCGCCTTCAGGGCAGCCCCTTGGGGGGGCCCGTACCAGCCCTTGTCCACGCGATACCCCTTGGGCCTTGGGTCACCTTTTGGCCAGGGCAGGGCACTTCTGGTCATGATATGACCCCAGTGGTCAAGGTGGCCAGCTCTCCTGGGTGTGTACTGTGCCAGGAGCTGCTGGACACCTGCCACCCTCACAGCCACTGCTGGCACCGTTGTCCATCATGCCCACCCCACATAGCCAGCACAGGTCGCTTCGGCAACTAGCCAAGCTGACAAAGTCTGAGACAGCCACAGCCAACCCTGCCCATAGCAGCCCTGGCCTTTGGGGCCTGGCACACCTGCCAGTAGCGGAGAGGGCCAGGCGCTCCTGCCCTGTGCCCACCTGGGCCTCCTCAGCCCAGGCCCACGTGCCAGCCTGCCAGACACACTAAATTTAGGCTCAGAAATCAGAAATAGCTCTGACAGCACTGAGCGCTAATTAGCAGCTGCTCCCTGGCTCTGGCTGTGCCCACCAAGGTGATAGGCACTCCAGGGAGGGGGTGGCAGGTGCCACTCATCACTGGAGCAAGGCAGCAAGCAGGAGCAAAGCCCAGGCCCAAGCCCTGAGTACGGACACAGCACCATGGGCCAGGAAGGGACAGGCATGGCGAGCCTTCCCTCTGGGGGCTTGTCTTCTGGAGGCAGCTGTGACAGAGAGGAGCTGGAGCGGGGTGTAAAGCCCCAGGCCCTGGGCTCACCTTGCCTCAGTGTCTGCCTCTGAAACAGGCACTGAGCCTGCCTCAGCCTCCCAGGGCCCAGGAGCACTAGGGAGCTGTGGTACGATGGGAGATGTCCTCCTGTGACGAAGCACAGGAACACAGATCTCATGTGAGAGGACCCGGAGGCAGGGCGTGGGAAAGATGTGAAAATGTCAGGTACAACAGACTTGTGTCCCGGACTTGGCCGACAGAGCAGCCGCTCGGCCCCTCGTGCTCTGCCTCCCACAAGTAGGATTCATCTGGGGCGAGGCTGAGAAAGGGAGCTGACCCCTGAACCTTCTATTAAAACGTGCAGGACAATGCCCCCCCTTCTGGGTGCAGAGCGGGACCCAGCCTCTGTGTCTCACGCTGGGACCCCGCCCTGGACGCTGCCTTGGTTCACTCCCAAGGCCACACTGGACAGGGCCACACCCTGCAGCTTCACTTTCCATCTCAGCAGAATCTGCACCCCCAGCCAGCAGCCCACCTTCTCCCTGGGGTCCAGTCCTTCCAGCCCCAGGCTGCCCCTGAGCCTGGACCCCAATCCCAGGGTCTGGAGGCCCTGTGGGTCCCAGCCCCCCACTGCGACGGGGTCCCGGGCTTGGCTCTCTCACCCTCAGAAAATCTCCAGAAACAGCAATTCCTTCCCGTGCACCCTTCCTGGAGCTCTGTGAGCAGCCCCAGGATGCGAGAGGCCATGGGGTGACCCTGCCCGAGGCCACCTGCCTGAGGCTGGGGTGAGAACCCCACAGCAGGCACTACAGCAAGGAGGGCAGGAGCCAAGACACAAGGCCCACTCCACAAAATGCAGGCTGGCAAGAGAATAAGGGCAATAATCAGTGCTCTCAGCCCCTCCTCTGGGCTCCACCCACACAAGTGCTTCATGTCCATTAACACCTTTAACCCTGAAGACGAACACGCCACGGAGATGCCACTACAACCCATTTCACAAGGGGGAAACTGAGGCAGGGGAGGGTAAGTCACTTGCCCAGCTTCCCGAGAAAAAAGGGCAGCGTGGGAAGTGGAGGTCCTGGTCCCTAGGGGTCTTCTGCAGAAGGTCCAGCCCCAAGGTGCCCATCTGAGGAACCAGGACCAGCCGGCGCCACTTCCTGCCACCAGCACCCTGCACTTCCTGTTGTTACCCACACTGCGCTCTTACTCACTGGGGAACCCCCCCAGCACCCCTGCGTCAGGGGGAAGTGCAGCGCCCCACCCCCACATGTGCACACGGCTGCCGTTAGCCACCGTGCCCCACCCTTCCAAGAGGTGGCCGGCTCCCCACAGCTTCCGGCCGCCAGGCAGCAGTGGGCCTAGGCGCAGACCTGCACAGTGGCTACAGACCTGGGGGCTCCTGGGGATGCAGGGCCACCTTGGGTCTCGTGAGGGATGGGGAGTGGCGAGCCAGGGACCCCAGGACGGAGAGGACCAGGTCAGCTCCCCTTCCTCGCAGCGGAGAGCTCTGCTGACGCTTGCTCCACCAGCACTGAGCTGCGTACCCCTCACAGTCCCCATCCCCTCTCGGGGTGACAGCAGAGTGTCCCTCAGTATTCTCCTCCACGGGGAACAATGCAAAGGCTCAGCCTGGTTAATAAGTTGCCCGAGGCCACACTGGTATTAAGTGGCAAAGAAACTCAGCCCCCAAAATCGTGACCCTCAAATCCGGAGCTCCTCTGAGCCTCGACAACCCAGCTCCTCTGAGGCAGGCAGCCCAAACCACCTTCCAGAACTCCGTGTTCTCAGCAAAGATACAGAGGAGGCCCAGGCCGCAGCCCCACCTGCTCCTGCTCGTCTCGGCCAGCCCGCTGCCAGCTGCCCCAGATGTCCCTGTGAATCACGCCCAGCACATCCCTGGTCCCGCCTCTGCGCAGCCGTGTCTGACTATAGGGCCTAACCCATCGCCACCCTTCACGGGCGACTCCTGAGGCAGGAGGCCAGGGCCGAGTACCCCACAGCCACACACCCCAACTCCAGCCACCTCAGCCCACAGAGGAGCTGCCCAAGGGGCTACCGCTACTGCAGGCAAGCCCAAAGGAGACTTTGCCCCTGCCCTCACCTGGCCCCAGAGATGAGGACAGGACACCCAGGGCCACACCCAACTCCCACACTGCCTGGCCAAGAGCACAGAGCGGCGGACGCCCCCCTGGTTGCCCAAGCCCTTCGAGAACATTGCCCTGGGCCCCCTGCCTCAGTGGATTGGGGTCCTACACCCAGCTGCACCTGGGCAGCCAAGAGAGGGTGCACCCCAGTCCCCCAGGGAAGGCAGGCAAGGCCCCGCCTGGGCCAGGGCGTAGGAGAGGCGAGGGCTGAGCGGCTGGCGGGTGCCCCCACCAGCAGCATCCCCATGCCCGGCAGCCAGCCGTCCCTCCGCACGGTTGCCAAGGCAGCAGCCGCACACCCCGGCTCAACCCTCTTTCCTCCCAGCCCACTTCAAGCAGGGGCACCCTTTCTCCCACCGCCTCCTCAGCAAGGGGGTGTCCCACCGTGGCTCTTACAGGAGAGGAGGGCTCCCCACACCTCCCTCATCCAGGGCCAGGAGAAGAGGGGCATTCTGGGTGCTGCGGTGCTGTTCCAACGGGCAGAAAAGGGTCTCCTGGGGTGATGGGACCCCAAAGGTGGCATTGTGCTTCTCCCATCAGACCTGGGAGGTCCCCAAGGTTTGGGGCCCCTGAGCAGCCTGAAGTTCTGCTCCTCTTAGACCTGAGGAAGGACAGGATCAGCCCGGCCTCAGGGAGAGATCCCATGGAGACAGGGAGCCCCGGCTGAGTCGGGTGGGGAGAGCCAGGCCCTGGAGAGATGGCCCCAGGCTGGGCTTCTCCTGCACTCACCAGGCTCCTGGGACTTCAAGGGCCCCTCTCTCTAGGAAGCACCCCTGAAGCCCCTTGCTGAGCCTGCCCTCCAGCCTGGCACTCAGGGGCTCCAGGGGCTTCCCACGGCAGACTGAGCCAGTCACGTCCCATGAGCCAGAGACACAGCAGGACCCGACTTCTGGCTTTGCCACCGTCTGACTCACTCACAGGGCTCTTCCCCAGCCCTGAGCATAATGGGGCAGCCCGGACCTCACCCTGAGGCCCACCTCCCCCTCCACGGACACACGGGGACAGACCGTGCCCCAGGCAGGCTGCCGGGCCCGGGACCACCACCACCAACACAGACGCTGCCAAGGTCTGGCCTGGGGAAGGGACGCTGGAGCCGGTGCAGAGGAGCCCCGGAAGCAGCTGGATCCACGGAGGCCCCAGGACCACACATGAGCCTTCCCAGCCCCGACCACCGCACCTCCTCCTGGTGTGGACGGCAGCCACAGTCTCAGGAACTGAGAACACTGCCCTGTGGGGCCATTCAGGGACCCAGCGACCAGCAGGCGGGAAGGAAAATGGGGGGGCACCCCATCCCTGCCTATATGCCTTGGGTCCTCACCCCAGACCCGCAGCACAGCCTGGAGACAGCCTGGCCTCACTGCCACCACCCGTGTCCAGCCAGGGGGGGCAGACAGCAGAATGACACGGGGCAGTCAGCTGGGTCCGGGGCAAGCCAAGGACAGAAGTGAAAGAGCCCCCTGCCCAGCCTGGGGGACCGACGTGCAAACCCAGCCGGTACTACAGGCGCCCTCCCATGGTCTGGACTCGGGACCCCAACTCCCGCCAGGCGACAGTGGCAGCGCAGCGGCGGGGTCCACACTCTGCTCCGCCCCAAGTGCAGGGACTGAGCCCCGTCTGCCCTTGCCAGCCTCAGCCCTGGGCGCGGAGAGGGGACACAGGGCCCGCGCGCGATACCCTACTCCGGCAGCCAGCCCGCACCCCGCCCGCCCGATCGCCGCGGGAAGTTGGGGACCGCGCCGCCCCCCAACTCACCAGAGCGCGCGAGAACCGCTCCTCCAGCTCCCCGGCCGCGGGCATCG